GTTAAAGGTTCTTTATGGAACCATTTAGACAAAAAGGTTTTTCTAGGCATCGTGAAGCACCTTTATTTTTAAGAGTGTAGAGTATACTGAAATATACATTGTAATGTGTGAGAGGCATTTGCAGATCTTATGCCTTAACCTAGTAGAAGACCAAGCTGTTTTAGTGTTTTCATTTATGTAGAACATGACCAAAAATACCAAAACGCAAAATCTGGAAAATCATGTTGATGTTTAATTTGTACTATATAGCCTAAAGGTTTAATGAAGTGCAATGCAGCACCTGCACTGTTACTCTTCTATCTGTATTTCTTTCTTTCTGCATCTGTATTTCTATTTGGCATTCGTGCAGGTGGCCATTTTTAGATATTGTTTTTAAACACAACATTCAAACTTCACCCCTCCTTGCAGGCGGAACGCCACCATTAGCCCCCTGTCCCTGACTTGATACCATCAGAACACCCTCAACCGACACGGAAAGATGAATTTAGTGGTATTTTGCCATTTTAAATAGTGTGTTTATCATGCATAAATATAATTTTTGTATATGAATGAATAGTTATTCGCTAATAGTTAGATGACTGGCTGTAATTTGCGAGCGAAATTAGCCATATTCAGTAGTAAACAATAATTACGTGTCATCATAAAGACATAATTACACTGTGTAGTAATCTATCAGTTACAGACAGCAGTCAATAAGGCGAAAGCAACATACTGAACTGTTTTTGTGTCGAGACAGGAGAACTTGGCGCACTAGCTTCTTGAACTAAAATAAACGATAACTTCCTAATGAAGTCCCGCCTCACTTGTGCCACACGTCGTTATTAGCTGGAGCCAAAAGTTGCAGCCCAGAATCGTCCCGAGCACAGCAAAAAGAAGAAGCAAATAATAACTGTACAGGCAAAGGGCAGTATCTCTGTAGAAACAAATCCCACCACACACATCTAGTGGATCATAAGTAATGATTGAGAGGGATTACTTTTGTACGAGTCTTTATTTTATATTTTGGATAATTTCTGCATGAATTCTGCATGAATTTTTACTGTCAAGCAGTCCAGAATGGTGTATATAATCTTAAATGCTGGACGTTTCGCAGTCAAAGAATTTGCTAGCTTTTTACTGCTTTTTAAAATCACAATGAAATTGATTTGCAAAAGCAACCGCTTTTCTGATAACGATGGATATTAGCTCTTATAGCATTTGCACTACTTCTGAATTTCATGTATAAAGTTGTCTGCAA